CCAGGGTCCTCTGGCCAACACCTGTGGAGACTTCTGGCAGATGATCTGGGAACAGGGCGTCAATGTCATCGCCATGGTTACTGCAGAGGAGGTAAAGCCGCATGAAAGTGTATTTTTTAATGTTTGTTTTGCATTTGCATCATTGCACCCACAGTCTTCAATGTTCTCTATTGGGATTTCAAGTGGGAGGCTGCTCCTTCCCAAATGTAGGACCAACAGACTCAGGAACTCCTTTGTCCCTCATGCCATCAGGCTCTATAACTCCTCTCTGGGGGGGAGTAGGAAATAGAGTTAAGAGAACAGAAGTGAAGGAGTTGTAGATACTCGCTTTGGTTTTTATAATCTGGACACTCTTTTTTCTCAACCATTCAAGTGCAATACACTACATAACTGTTAATTTAAGTCATTGTTTTTGCTATAGCCCTCTGTATTTATTTGTCTATCCTCATCCCCCAATACATCTTCCTACACCTTATTTAATTGATTTTATTTTTCTATTGTATATACTGTGTCTAAATATCCTCTATTTTCTTGTATGTGCAATTTTTCCTGCTACTGGAAATACAATTTCCCGAAGGGAGTAATCCCAAGGGATTAATAAAGTCAAGTCTAAGTCTAAGTCTAAGTCTAAGTGATAGACCGACAAAAAATAACAATAATGTATGAATATAAAGAGAAGGAAAGTCAGGGTAAACATATTTCTTAGTTCAAAAATTTAAAATTGTTTTATATTTATTTATATTTGTAACTAGGAATCTTTATGGATGAAGTTTTTTCTTTTTTTTGAGCTGCTGGAACTTCTATGTTTTTCCTTATTTGGATCGATTGCTGGTCTCAATGGATGTAGAGCAGCTGTGATTATAAGTTCTTAACTTCACAAAGATTTGCAGCTAGATTAAATCTCGACTTTGACTGGACCAATGTAACAAATAACTGCTGTTTGATCTAAACTAATAAAGCTCATGTAAAGTTATTGCCCTGCTATAAGGTGGACTTCCTGCCCAGTAAAGTCCTTTGCCATCCCAGGCTTGTCTCCTTGCAGGATTGTCCTTTATACAGATCCAGCCATCGTCCCATCACCTCAGACCAGCAACTCTGTCCCTGCCACTTTTTATATTGCAGCCGCTACCAGGTTTTATAGCTAGGATGCTTTGTGAAATGTGTTCATTTATTTTTCAATTAGGTAAAAAACATATATCATGGTCAGAATCTTGTCAGATTCTCCCATCTCAGCGGTCGATCCCTGCCACATGCACAGCATCCTTTACAGATCTGATTTGAAAAATTGTTTAGCTCTGAATTCCTTTAACAACTTCTTCTCCGTTCCTTCCCTTTATGTTCTGTCCAGGAGGGTGGCAGGTCCAAGAGTCACCGCTACTGGCCCAAACTGGGCTCAAAGCACAACTCAGCCACTTACGGCAAGTTCAAGGTAACCACCAAGTTTCGCACCGAGTACAACTGCTACGCCACCACAGGACTGAAAGTCAAACACCTGCTGTCGGGCCAAGAGAGGACAGTTTGGCACCTGCAGTACACTGACTGGCCTGAGCAAGGGTGTCCTGAATATGTTCCTGGGTTTCTCTGTGAGTGGACCTGACTCATGAACAATACTTTTACTGATGTCTAGAGAATCAGCCCACCACTAGAAATTCTTTCTTCTTTCTTTTATTTTCAGCCTATTTAGAACAGATTCAGTCTGTGAGGAGGCACACCAACTCTATGCTGGATACCTCAAAGAGCCTTAACCCACCAGTTGTGGTGCATTGCAGCGCTGGCGTGGGTCGAACCGGCGTGGTGATTCTCGCTGAGCTCATGATCAGCTGCCTGGAGCATAATGAGGTGTGTTTATAATAACAGGGACTAATGTTCTCAGATAAGTGGAAATAAGCATTCATCTAGTTTTTAGAGGAACTTGTACGAATCTCCATGGAAACACAAGATGTAAAATACATCAGGAGAATTTATGGGAATTTTATGTTGCATTTTAACATGATTTTTTTTTCTTTTTTCGTTTTAGCCAGTGGAAGTTCCTACCATGCTGTCAGAGCTGAGGCAGCAGAGGATGCTGATGGTGCAGACCATCTCCCAGTATAAATTCGTCTACCAGGTGCTCATCCAGTTTCTCAAAAACTCCCGCCTCATCTGAGTCTGTTCAGTCTTACAGGAGATGTACCCTGATTACGAGAACGGTACTCGCTTTCCTCTTTGTGTACATAAGTGGGATTGAAAAGTAAATTCTCTCAAAAAATGTAAAAGAATTTAACTGCTCCTTCGTATCATATTCAGATTTAACTCTTTGTTTCGGCCGCATCTTTAATCTGTTTTCTTTTTGTTTTAAGCATATATGTAAATGCATTATTTCCGTGCAAGTCAGGTCAAAAAGCAGCTCATCGCTGCGAGTGTGAATGTGGGAGATTTCTCACCTCCTATGTGTTTGTAAAAATTATTTTAAAAAGCCAGTGTTAGAAGTTATAATATGCTGCATAAACAGTAAATGGCAGCAGTATTATTAGTTTAAACTACATTTTCACTCTTGTTTGCCAAATTGAGTATAAATGTTCTTGTGTTTTTTTGTTTTTTTTTTAACGTAATATTGACAAATATTTACTACCACATTGTAACAAATGTTTTTATTTATTTCTAATAAGACTGTGGTCACCTTCTCTTCGCCATTGGCTGGCACGCTCTTCTTTTGAAATCGTCTTAATCTTTTTTTTCTACTTTTTTATTAGAAAATTTCCTGAGATTTCATACATTTTAATGTAAAGATTTGCCAGTTAAAAGATTTTGTTCTAAGCCTATAAGAAATCTGCACTGCAAAAAACTGAAATCTAAATAAGTAATTTTTTCTTAAAATAATTGAATTTTTTCTTGAATTAAGGAGGTATTTGAGACACTTTGCCAATAGAATAAGATAATTTAGATATAAAATTTGAAAAAAACAAACAATTGCATTGTTTTATATCAAGTGCATATCTTCAAATTATCTTATTTTAGGAGTAGAGATACTCATTCCATTGGCAAATCATCTTATTTATCTACTCAAATTAAGGGTAAATACAATTAATATGAGAATTTTTGCTTATTTCTAGGTTGTTTTTGCAGTGTGGTACATTTCAGAAATAATATGTAAATTTTTAACACATTTCAAAACTTTATAGTGATTACAAATGGAAGATAAAGGATGGTTTTTACTTTATTTGTGCCTTAAAAAATGGAATGTGTGGATTTCTTCAATACCAGATTTATAAATTGATATTTAAGAAGTTGTATTAAAATAAACAAAAAAAATCTTGATCTTTTGTTTTATTAAGATAAGTGTGAGGCACAAACTATTTTGCCAAGAGTGAAAAGGAATAAAAAGTGTTGCCCATAAAACCCTTTAATAAACCTTTAATCCATATTTTTCTTCTTTTCTGAACTGAAGCTGTACTAAGTCAACCATGTCAGCCATTACATTTTACATAAATATTTTATATAGTTTTCTTTTTATCGACTTGGTAACCTTAATATACCGAAACATAAACTATGCATGCATTTTAACATTTCTGTGTATATGTTTTACGTTACGTTCTCAGATTTGTATAAGCTTTAAACACTTTTGACATTCAAGGGTTTTTGTTGCACTCCTTTCCTATTCAACAGTATTTACCACACGGCATTCCACAGTTTGTTTTCTATTTAAATTTGTCCCACCTTCCATTTTTTCATTTGTTTTTAAAAAAACATACAAAATATACTTCAGATATATGTACATAGGTTTTGTATATGCATTTTGAGTGCATTCAGTTGTGTTTCCTCTCCCCAAACATGTATGAAACTGTTGTACTTGCCTATTATGCAATAAAATCCTTATTTTCTTTAAGTCTGAGGCCTTCCCTGTATTTTGTGTGTTTTAGAGATTGTCTGACTTGATTTAAAACCTTACTGTGGTTAAAGATGGTCATTTTATTTTAATGTACATATTCCAAAAAAGAATAACAAACAATCCACTGGACTTTATTTCCAAGTTTGAAGGTGTTTCACTTCCCATCCAGGAAGCTTTTTCAATTCAAAATGTAATTTAATGTAAATACATATTTATTGTTTAAATGTTTGAAATTTTTCATCTTTTCTGTTCTACAGGAAAATTGGAACTTAAATCGAAACTGTTTTCACACAAACAATCAATATGTATAACCAAGTCATACTTACTGATTGCAGCACTAGGTGTTCCTGTCGCTATTGCAAAGAGTTGAAGTAACCCCTAATAAATGGTAGCATTATACCAATCGCTTAAAGAGCAGTCAGAAAAGTGCCTTTCCCCTGGATTGACCTGTTGTTGGGCTTGAATGCAGCAGATGAGCTGTAGAAACTAGAAAATCTATGTGTGCATTGCTCTGAAGCCAAAGGGCACATGAAGTTTGGAGCTTTGATTCTGCTGACAGTGATCTGATTGTACAGGTTGCACCCTTATTCACTCAGCCTCAGATTTTCATGCATCTGCAGTAGCAGCCTGCATGCAGAGGTTACATGCACTTGCAGTTATGTAGAGATTAAACATCTAACTATAATGCTCTGATGTAATGCTTTGGGCAATAGTGTGTTTGCCAATAGTGTAAAATAATTTCTTTATGATTTTATGACCTGGATCTTGCTAAATGAATGAAAAAAAACAATATTATCCCTATGCATGATTATATTTTTTTAAGATAAAGATTTTCTTTTTGAAACTGTTTGATCTGGAAAATGTCTAGCTGGATGTGAGGCGGACCACTGGACAGCCCAAAAACCTTGCACTGGATGCCACATATCAAAAAACATCCTCACATCTGAGGAATGTTCAAACATAACACTCCTGTTTCGAGCCGGTACCATCGGGTCCAGATAAAAACAGATTCTTGTCTATAACAGATAGTAGTGGTGCTGAGGGAAAGTCCGGTTTTCTCAGATTCTGCTTTGAAATTGTGTTCTCTTAAAAAAAGGCAACGCTGTGACTACATTGGAAACAGATAAAGAAATTAAATGGTTGAAGATTTTATTACCGGTAAATGAAAAAGAAAACATATTTATTTCTTTTTAACTGTTTTATCATAAGAAGCAATAGAGGTTGATGCATAAATGCCCCCCTGGGTGGGCATCCCCTTTTACTCCTCCACACCCTATAAGCCCTAAATCAGCAGAGCATTCACCCTCAACTCATTTGCAAGAAAACTAAATGCATGTCATTTAACAAACATTGGGTTTGTTTACCTCCCCTTCAGATGTGGCCAGTGTGTCCTGTATAACAAAACAGACTGACTACTTGAACGGTTTTAACATTGAAAACTATTCTCCTCCAGTGCAATATGTGTAATAAAAACACTTTTACTCCTTCAAATCTTTACAGTGGTATACAGCTATACAGCTAGATAACTGTGTAAAACATAATTTGTTGTTTTTGTAACTTTCTTTAACATTAAAACAAATCTCCCTGCTCTTCAAAGTTTGGATAAAAAAAAGTCACAAAGCTTTCTTCACTTTTGTCCAATCTCTTTACGCAGGCCTCTGAGGAAAGGGTGATCCTTTCCATGGGCCACCTTCATCACAGCCATGGCCTGTTCAGTGGGAAAAATAGAAGTTACTTCAACATCCATTTGACGTTATTTCACATATTTTCCCCATGTAGTTATATCGAAATTGTGACAGCTTAAGAAATTGTGGTGATTTCCTAAATTATTGAAGTTAATTTTGACGACACAACATCCTCACCATGATTTTAAGCCACTGTTGTTTTTCTTTTCAATCAAGGAATAAATACACAAATAGTAATAGGCTGTAACAAATACAAAATTATACCAAAACTGGTATTGATATTTCCTGAGGAAATTCTCCCAGTAAACTAAAGCTAGACGTTAGCCAGTATGAAAATAGGCCACATTTCAGTTTAAATTTAGGATTGTTAATAACTGATTATTCTTTTAGATAATATTTCTCTTTGTAGCTTGCATTATTGTTTCCCTTTTTTATGGACACAAGTTGAATCGCTAAATCTATTTGAACTTTGTATCATTTTATATCACTGTATAATGAAAATATTTTCCAAATACAAATAAATAAAAAAACAGCTAGATGATAAAACAAGACAGAATCTAAATGAAAAAAGCCCGTTAAACCTGACTGCTTTGTGGAAACATTGTATATAAAGTTAAATAATTTCTACAAGAAAAACAAAACAACACATGATGAAGTTTGATCTAAAAGCTTAGAAAGCCAACCTACCTTCTTGAGAGCCCTGATGCCCTCAGAGTGGCGCTCTATCATCATGTAGATTCTACCCATCTTCAGGTACATAGAGGAAACATTCAGCGAGTAGGGGGGGTAGAGCTTGCTGGATGCATTACAGAGACCATGCAGACAAAATAAACAGAATATATTAAGGAATATATATATATATATATATATATATATATATATATATATATATATATATATATATATATATATATATATATATATATATATATATATATATATATATATATATATATTTACATTTTAATTCAAACAATGGGAAATATTCCACTAACAGTTCTGGCAGGTGTAATGCACCAAGAAATATTGCAAAAAATATATAATAACTTTAAATCTGTTTAAAATTTCGAAAGCCTGTTTGGTTTTGATGAACCCATTAATTGAAACATGTTTGTGTGTTTTTATATTGTTTTTTTTTTTTACCTGCTTATTTCATAAAAGTGACAACCTATGAAAACTTTCTGAGAGTTATCAATTTGAGCAGAAATGTTTGTAAGAAAAAAGGAATACAATATTTTTTAATGCCATTTTTATAATGAATAAAAAACCAAAATACAAACAACTCTCATCCTCACAAGCCCACCTATATAATGCTGGAATTTAGCTTGCTAAAATAAAAATAATATTAAGAGCTAATGCAGCTAAAAATGATTAATTGCTTTAGAGACTCTTCAAAAGTATATTATATACATAAGTATTTTTTTTCTGATTTTACTGGAAAAAGGAAAAAAGATCAACATATTCAGATCATTTTCCATTTTTTTTTAAATAATCAAAAAATAAATACGTTAAAGTCTAAGTTTGAGACTTAATATAAAATATGCTCTAAATATACGCAAAACCACATTTACTTTCTATTTTTAGTCTATTTAATCCCATTTAGATACACTGAGGTTTGTTGTTTCAATGCAATAAAATGTGATTAAATTTAAAAACTATTACAATTTGACAAAACAATATAAGCTGCTAATAAGACTGCAAATCAGGACCCCTGCAGGTAAGCTGTTTTATTAGTTCCGAGTAAAATTAATTAATATCATTCCCATTTTTGGACAAGACAAAAATATAGTTATGTCAAAACTAGGTTTTTGTTCCTTCTTACCTGTAAGGTTTTAGGATCTTCTGGCCATATCGAATAGCTCCATCTGCATCCTGCATGTAAATGCAAACCCCCATGGCCTGGTACATCATGTGGAGCATGTAGACGTTGGAGTCATCGAACACAGCTCCCATTTTCTCCAAGCTCTGCTCACACATCTCCAACAGCTCACTAGGCGGTGCCACTGAGTCAAGGATGCATTCACACAAAAAAGCTTCACAAAAGAATATAAGAGTTTCTATTATGTCCTTTCAGTAAAAGAACTTTGTAAAAATCAAAGGATATTAGATGAAATCAGGCAACATGTCATTTTCAATGTAAAAGAAATACTGTTATTCAGCAGTTAAAGATATTTCTGATGTGCTTAAGGGCCCGGAATTCCCTGACTGTGTTCCTGGCATAACGGATCATGTTGTTGACCACATGTGGCTCGAATGGGTCTCTCTGCTTACGAACTTTCAACTTTTCCTCATCCTGTGGATAAATAAAGGGGACAGAACATGTGAGAAAATTCTCATATATATCACAAAGCACAAAATACATCATTTACAGCCTCCTCCACAGCTATTTTTATTGTCATTGCACTATCACAAGACAATGTCACAAGTACTACTTAGCCACAACTTCCCTAAACATTTCACATTTGACCAATAATTTAAATTTATAGGGCTGTCTATGTATTTCAGCCCACTAATTTGTATTTTCTGCTTCTGTGGGGTTTACACATGAGACACAGATGCTAATTTTGTTTACTAACTAAAATGAATAAGTTAAACAAACTTAATTCAAGTACATTGGAAAAATGATCCCTGTCTGCACTGAAATGTTTCACTCCTCTGGAAACGTAACCATGTTTATGGTCCATGTGTATTTTCCCGGCAGGGACACTGAGAAGGGTGGTATGGAATGTAAAATTTTGTAAAACTTACTCAAGAATGATATAGCATCAAAGCTTCTAGATGTATTTCATCCATCCATCCATCCATCCATCCATCCATCCATCCATCCATCCATCCATCCATCCATCCATCCATCCATCCATCCATCCATCCATCCATCCATCCATCCATCCATCCATCCATCCATCTTCCTCCGCTTATCCGGGGTCGGGTCGGGTCGTGTACCTCACGGGTGCAGCAGCCTAAGAAGGGAGGCCCAGACTTCCCTCTCCCCAGCCACTTCTTCTAGCCCCTCAGGAGGAACCCCAAGGCGTGCCCAGGCCAGCCGAGAAACATAGTCTCTCCAGCGTGTCCTGGGTCTTCCCCGGGGCCTCCCTCCAGGGGGACGTGCCCTGAACACCTCACCAGGAAGGCGTCCATGAGGCATCCTAACCAGATGCCCAAGCCACCTCAACTGGCTCCTCTCGACGTGGAGGAGCAGCGGCTCTACTCCGAGTCCCTCCCGGATGACCAAGCTTCTCAACCTATCTCTAAGGCAGAGCCCAGCCACCCTACGGAGAAAACCCAGACCTAGATGTATTTGTCAGATTTTACCAAATTGTTACAGACGTTGCCATTACATGTGGAGGCTTACATTTTATTTTATATTTACTTTTCAGGGGAGTGTTGGCCTAGTGGGTTAGAGAAGTGCACTTGTGCTCTGAGAAGGTTGCAAGTACCTGGTTCAGTCTCCACAGCCTCTACTATGTGTTCCTGAGCAAAACCCTTCTCCCAACACTGACTGGGCATCAAACAATGGCAGCCCACTGCTCCTCAAGGGGATGGGTCAAAATGCAGAGAAGGAATTTCCCCATTGTGGGACAACAAAGGGATTTACATATATTTTCATTCTTTGGGACTTACTTTAGACTTGGTTTTGCATTCCAAGCAGTCACAGGTGAAGTAATAGTACTCCCTCAGCCTGATGTTTCGATCATCAGTTGGATATAGGAGGTCTATGTAGCTTATGAGAACCTAGAAAGGAAAAGATTAAACACAATTTCCACATGAGTAAATTCCAACTAACTTGATACTCTCTGGTTATTCTCCCAGTTATTCGCCTTTTTAAAGACACAAACATTTTCTACTCTTTTATTTTTATTTTTTATGTACAAGTAAGCAGAATAGTTGCCTAAATCTAAATCAGGGTTCTTGAATTGACATAAGTGTTATAAGAAAACTAAAACAGGATCAGACCCCCTCTAATGGCAGTCATGTCTTTTCCTCACTTCATCTCCAGGCTTCATGTCCTGCACCGCCCGGACTTCAGCCGACGTGCAGTTATACGTGACTATGACGCTAGGAAGACAACTGTGGTTTATAAGCGCCACACTGTGGAAAGAAAAACAGTGAAAATAACTGCGTTGGTTTCCTAAATTAGGTAAAACAGAAGAAGGAACATTGAATATTGTTCACTTAAATAACATGATGGTTTAAAAAAACTATTTAATGATAGACTTCATCTTGCCCTTGTTTTGACATTGTCACCTTGTTGCAGGGCACATCATTGTTGTTTTAAAGCCAGGCGTATTATAAAAACAGCAGTTCTGCAGCGTATGAGATAAGTTGAAAGGAAAACATATTTGGTGAATGCTAAGGGGCTGAGCAAAATCAGTGTGTGAGCAAAAAATACATGGTGCCTGCAATATATTGGCGTTGTTGTGGGTGATAGACAAAATTTGGATGCATTAGGGGAAAGACACGCAAACAGGTCATTTTAAGGAGTAAATTACATGTGCTATTTGCAGTCTAGTCCAAACTATGGAGATGGAAGAAAGGCTAATAACTATTCTGAATAGTATATCACTGATAAATATAATTTATTAAAAGAGCTCAAAAGAGATAAGGGGAAAAATCCCTCTTACTGTGAGTCAGGGATGCATTCTTTAAGTTGCATCTCCCTTTAACGTCCCTTTACGACTTCTGTCATTTTATTTTTTGGGTGGCTAATGATATTCAATCCTGTTTTGTGAAAACATTCAGATTTGGTCATTATTTTGGTTTAAGTGGAATTGTTTCCTGCTGCATTAATTTGTGCCTGTCACACAGACCTTCCCGACAGTCCAAATATGCTCACCTGTGCACCTACTCTCCCCATAATCCATCATTGCACCAATGCTTCCATTCTGGTCACAATGACTGGATAAGTGTTTGCGTACAAGTTTACACCTGACTTTTTTTATAATAGATGCAAAAGCTGTGCCTGCATTCACAATGAGGTTTAGTGAATTGCTTTGCCATTGGTAAGTATTTGTATCGGCATATCCTCCACCCATAAATCTGCATGCGTGTTCAATAGAATAAGGCCTGCTTATTTTTAATGGTACACACCCAGAAAGGATTGCTGCTCCTCTGATTTTGCACATGGAAATGACTTTTTAATGAGATCAGCACTTTTGTCACACAAACCTTTCTGGGATCAAGCCTTAAGAGTACAGTGCAGTCATATTTTTCTTTAGACTGAAATTAGCTCTTCCAAACTTCAATTAAATTCAGTGATGTTGAAATTTTAATCCAGATAGTTTGGTGTTTTTAATCTGGTTGTAGGGAGCTGCATAACAAGAAAGATGTCAGGTGTATGCAGTAAAAAAACAACAAAAGAACTTCTACAACTAGTTTGATCATGTTTGATCTTATTTTTTTATCTTTCTTTTTACTACTAATTTTATCATGAAATAACCTTAATATCATGTTTGTGAGTGCACACAGTACGAGGCTTGCTTCTTACTCTGGATACACTGCGGTTCCAATGTGGGAAAGTTCATCATCTTCTATTGTAAAACCATTACAGGCAACCTGTTAAATACAGACAGTTGGAATGGATGAAAAAATGAAGAATTGAGCTGCACACCTATATTAAAGAAAGTCAATAAATGCATACAGATATTTATTTATGATACCTGAGAAAAGAGTGTAAGCAAGTCGTTTCTGTCAGGCACCTCCAAGTGTTTGGGGTAAAATCGATGGAGTCCAGCAATATCAGCCTCAGTCCTCTCTCTTTTTTCATTGTCTTCATCCTCTAGATCTGGTGCAGTCAGGGAAATACAATACTATTTCTATTTTCTCACCAATTAACTCTATTGATGCTATGTAAAGCCTAATTTAACACAATCTTTTTAATTTAGTCATTCGTTTTACGTAAACCTCTTGAAAGGAATGTTGCTTTCGCTTAAACAGTGGCTTGTAAAAAATCTTATGCCCATTGAAATTGACCATTTGTTGTCATATTTCTATATTAAGCACCTTCTTTTTGTTATGGTTCTAATTTGTTGTGTCTGAGTTTTCAGTTTTCTGTTATCAGTTGTTTTTATTTTCCATTATATTCTAGCATTCTTTAGTTACTCTCTGTTGCCCCCTTGTGATTGTTTTCTTTCCCCTTGGATTCCCTCTTGCCAGTTCCACCCACACCTGCTCCTCATTCAGCTCGTTAGTCCATCCTTTGTTTTGTTCTCCTTACAGTAAATACTCCACCTCTGCAGTCACTCAGTGCTGGTTCCTTCTCTATGCTGTACTCGTCTACTCAGCTCATCTACCTGTAGCTGCTCGGGCTCGTTTTTTCCCCTGATGTCTCCATGGTTTTTGGTTTGTTAAAAATTTTACAGTAGTTAGATTTCTGGATTTGTACCTCTGTTTCCTTTGTTCTTCAATTAAACCTCTCAGAACTCATCTCTGCTTCACTCGTCTCGCATCTGGGTCCTCGAGCAACCTCACCACCCATTGTTGACACTTTTTCTTCTTTGAGAAATATCTGAATATCTGCTTGGTTATCTAATAATTTGCTTTGTTTTATATTTGCACTGGGATTTTAAGAGGTGTATGAAAAGGTTAAATTTATGTGTACAGCCACAATTTTTAGATTTGTTGATTTCAAATGTTTGGTCACATCATAAAATCCCTTTTAAACTCACAAGTTTTTAGATATTACAAAATGAAATTAGGAAAAGCAATGCAGTACAACATCCTTTTTCTATTAAACATACAAAGCGAGTCCTAAAGAGCTTTTAGCCCCAGACTTGGCAAACAGCAGTTTAAAATAAGACCTCTTAGGTCTTGTTGTCATATCCCTACACATTTTTTATTAATAATTGCTTTTAAGTTTAGACACTTCTTTAGCATGTTAACACTATACTCTGGTAATTTCTAAGTGTTACAAGAAACAGACAAAAAACTGTTTAAAAAGATGCCAAAGGAAAAACTACAGACATTAGCGCTTTAGACATACTAAAAAACATATACCTTCTGCAAAAACAGTTTTAACATTTTTTAAAAATGTATAAAGATAAAGGTTGAGTCTGAATCTTAAACATTTAAGCCTTTATCATAATTTAATAACAGTATTTACTTACGTGATTCCAGTTCTTCAATTAGTAACAGCTTCTCTGAAACACATCGCTCTTTCATCATTTTCTGCTTTGAGATAAAAACATTTTACATTAATTTACCTCTGGAAACAAACTATGTGCTTAAAAGGGATTTTTTAAAATAATTTTTACAAATTCCTGTTTTAAAAAAAAAAAGAGGCCAACCTTCTTGGCGAGGATGCGAGCCACCAGGCGGGTCGTCTCTGACGGACACCAATTCTCTCCAAATGCATTCATAGCTGAACACTCCAGTTTGTGCATGGCCCAGTCTCCTTTCTTCACATAAGCACAAAATACTGTATATCAGACAATATAGAAGAAAAGCTACGACGGTTTGTGCATAGAGTTTGCCCTCACACTATACACTTTAAATGGTAACACTTTACAATAACATCATAATCCTTATTTATAAAAAGTAAAGAGACAATTTATTAATAGTTAACATATAGTTTATAATTGTTTGATAATTTATAAACTGCATCTAAACCATTTATAAGGTATACAGTTTATTTCTTAGATTTATAAGGTCAATAGATCATATTGCCCTGCCATGTAAATTTATCCCTAACCCAAACATCAGCAAACTTAAAACCTGAACCTAGCATTTATTGTCCTGTCATGTTGGACTTACCCTTACTCTAACATCAGTAGGTTTATTACCTTAATTTTACCATTCATAAATGGTCTATATCAAGGTTACATATAAATCAAACATTAATAAACTATCTGTTAATGTTAATAAATAGTCTTCTTGCCTTTTATAAATGATGGTTATAAAAGCTATTGCAAAGTGTAACCCTTTAAACCAAGGGCGTAGGTTTGATTTCAACTTTGGTAGGGACACTATTCTTCAGTTTCATTGGTCCTTTGCAAAAATATGCATGCTCTTTTTTATGCTTAATGTGAGCTTCAGGGCTCATTTTGTTTAAAGAGAACAGCAGCATTTCTTGCTACATTAATACAAATCTTATAAGCACTACATGCACTAGATGCTGTTTATCAATATTTAAAGCATCACTGGCTCTGAATGTGGAATTAGGACTTTTTCCACTTTGAAAAGGATTGCATTTAAATTTACCTGCGACTAAGACAGTGTCTGTTTAACCAAATATAGTCTATAATATGTGGATTTATCCTGTGTTTTCTTCTGAAGATATAGAATTGTGCAGAGGTAAACAGAGGTAAAACCCAATGTTATTTTTTTTTTATCTAATATGCTCTCTTTGGATCTGGGCTGTAGTTACTCTGTGTAGCTAATTTCATGTATTTTATCTATGGCTGAAACAATTAATCATATTAACAAATTATTTAAATAATCGTGAACTAATTTAGTAATTGATTAATTGTTAACTGGAGTATAGGGCCACTAAAATGTGCCTTTAGCCGACAGAGCGACTCACTTAGAGCAGGAATTATACTAAGCTTGTAAAAAATATGTAAACATTTTGCATTTAAGAAGTAAAAAAAAAAAGTTTTTGTCTGTCAATATTCTCCATCCAGAACTCCTCCAAAGGAAACGTTTAAACGTTTCTGTTTCACCTGGTTTCATTTCATAAAAGATCTTCTTTAAGGAACCTTTGGCTATATTAAAAGATAAAATAACAGAAATCCTAACGTTGTTAACTTACATTTCTCAAGTTCCACAAATCAAAAAACTCTCTCCTGCTTCTTTACAGAACTCCAATCAGAAGCTTTCGCCTGTTTTAGCGTAGATAATAAGTTTTTTTTAATTTGGACTAGTTTCGTAGCCCAATATTAATTTATTTTAGCGTCTTTTTTTTTTCACGCTCCAAGCACCCGCGAGCGCGCACATACAGACTAGAAAACACGCGATCAGAAAGAGAGAAGGCGGAACTTAAGGCAGAATAATCAGAGAGTTAAACCGCGCAGCACAGTTGATGCGCTGCTATGTGAAAGGGACAGGAAAGAGCAGGCAGCTGCAGCTACCAGGCAGAGAAGCTGCGAGAGGAAAAGAAGCGGCTGCTATATAGTAAATTATATGTTGTTCACATCCAATTATTGGTAGGGACAAATGGTTCAGTCCAACATTTTGGTAGGGACATGTCCCTATGGTCCCTATGCAAACCTACGCCCATGCTTTAAACATTATAAATCATAATACATTCTTTTTTTTTGTGTTTTTGAGATTACATAGGTTGTTACTGACAGTAAGAATTAGGGATGCACGATATAATCGGCCCCCTATCGGTATCTGCCTGTATCGGCCTTAAAACTGAATATCGGACATCGGCCACCCCACCGATATTTAACCCGATATTTGATCAGCTTCTGAGTTTCTAAAGTCTAAAAAAAAAAAAAAAATACTACTTCTTCTTCTTCCTCAAAAACTTCTTTTTTACAGACTTAAAAACTTCTAAAGACGAGGGAAAAAATATTGATACATTAAAATGTCACAATATCTTCATAAGCTGATATATTGCCATTTAAAAACACCATATCAATCTCTTTTACTAATGAAATAATGCTATATGTCATCGTTATGCTACGAAATCCCATCTATTTTACTAACAAAATATCACAAGAGTTTGTAACAGAACAATGAAATTTCACGAGATTTTGAAAGTAAAATAGATCAATACCGCATTTTTAAATTGAATTTGATATCAGCATATGAAAATATATTTAAGTATATTATTTTTCAAAGTGTCAGAAATGGATAACAAAACTGCTATTTTCAATGACTACTTATTTTTGTCCAGCTTTAACATCAGTATCAATATCGGTTATCGGCTACATGAGTTTTAAAATATCGGCATATCGGATATCGGCCAAAATCCCAATATCGTGCATCCCTAGTAAGAATCATGAAAAATTGATGAGAACCCTTTTTTAATTTATTTTCAATTGATATAAATGTATATAACATGAACTCTGGTGCTCATTCTACCATGGGCTAAAAGTTCAGAAGCAAAGTTGATGGATTTGTAAGTAAGTACTGCAAGCTGATGGAGTACTGTAGAGTACTGGAGCTATGTGCAACAATATTTACATCTGCTGTTTGCACACAAAATGTACTAAGCAAACATTATCAGGAAAAGTTTACACCATTTAGGCCGAAATCTCGATACGTAAAGAACGCAACAAAAAAATCTACCCATGACAGAGTTTTTCAGAGCACAGAATTTAATCTTTAGATAAATTATCTGAGAGCCAAATGTACAGAATTTCTGTAATTATCAGGTCATTTGATTTAAAAAAAAAAGAAAACATCAAGTAATGCTCTAAACATCATACTCCACTGCTGATGGAAATGCTAGGCTGGCAGCTAGTGCAGGTACGTCCATGTGAGTGGTGTGGCCCTGCCCAGAGAGAGGAGGGCCATAGCAAAGGGACAAAGTGGGGGAGACCACCAGAAGTTGACTTGCTAATAGCATTATAAAGTAAAATTTTACTTGCTTTTTCATTAAACATGTTCCTCATCCAAGGCTGTTGTGCTGTGTACTTAACTTTTGTCACCATGGGGTAAAAAGGGTGGGGCTGCAGCTGGAGTAGAGGTAAAGCAAGTCATACTTTTTCACACATCTGGTTTTGGCCTACAGACAGTGCTCAACAGCCCAAAGTATTGGTGAAATTTCACGTATTGTTCCTTTAAGGATTTAAAGATCAAGAGGATAGTCCAAAATGCCACCTGAGCAATCTGTATGACTTGTATAATAGAGGCATCAGCAATCCGGCTTTACAAAGCCCTTTATAGGTCTTAAAATGTTTCAGTGAGCATTTTAAATCTTTTGCCCAGGATTTATCCTACTTTATTTCTAAAATAACACAATCTATCAAATAATTTAGTTTGATTTCTTTGCATGTGGGGAATTGATGAGTTGTAACCAACACCTTGTGACATTTTCATGTATATTGATACTATAGAAATGTAATGGGGATAGGTTCGATATTTAGTTTACCCACTGTGTCCCTGTGTTTCCCACCTGGCACTTTGCATTGCAGTAGAAAGCTTTTTTGCACTTCCCACATCTTGCCAGACCTTCTTTCCTATAACAGAAAACTTTATTAGATTTTTATTTGCCTCTATCATATATAAAAATAGAGACCCAAGACACCCAAAAAACAACAAAAAAAGAAAGTTTATATTCCTCTAAATCACACATCATATTATTCGTTTAGGTTTATGTCAATTAGTGTATCTGGCTGCGTGAACCTCATTGTGTCAAAGTATCTTGCTGTAATGAATGTTTTACTACAAACATTAAAATGTCATGCCTCGTGGATAAGAATGAACAGTTGCTGGTGGCCTGCAGAAGAGCTTTCAGACATTCTGGAGTATAAATAGAACTGATCCAGAGAAGGACCAGTTGTCTCTGTAACACAGAAACAGCAAACCAGTCCAGATTTCTGAGACATTTCCATCTTATTCAGTCCAAATGAGCTGATCAGTAGACAGTATATTGTTCATACTATATATAATGTGCTATAAAAGATTTGGAAAATATTTTGATAATGCTTGATAAAACTGATTGCTACTGACCTTTTGCTTACAATTCACCTAAAATCCAATTTTCCTATAAGACATAATTGTGTGAAACTATAGCTTAATGTCCACAAGCTTTGCTTTATTGGCTGATAAATAACATTTAAAAAGAATGTGGTGTATAAGCTATGACTAAACAACATTATCTGTGAGAAGGTGATAGATATAAAAGTTATGTAGCCTTGGCTCAGAAAGACGAGGCACAGGCAGAACTAAAATAGATTTTATGCTGTGATAGGTTCTGTGACTCCACCAGATATAGAATTACTGAGTTAAGAGACATGTTCAAAGAGACATTTCTAACTGTATCTATTCATTCAGATAAATATATTTAACAGATTAACTCTTGGACTTCTACCTGTTGAAGCAGAAATCACAGCTGTTGCCTCTCTCGTTGACTGACAGGACATAAGAATACGCCGGGCTGGAAAACAGGAGTTCGCCGACTTTAAAAGGCCTTGTAACCCGGAGACCTCGTCCCTTTCCAGGACTGTCAAATTTCTCAATTCCCTCAATGAAGCCAGTCATTGCTCTGTGTAACCCAGTTTCAGTGTGAGCCTGGACTTCGTGGAGGATGAGGAGGGTGTGGCAGAGACACTGGTGTTAAGTGCTGGGCGTCACCCTATACTGTTGCATTTTCAGAATGCAGTAGGCTATGAATGTACTTGTATGAATGTATTAGTTTTGGAAAAAAAAGATTATACAGCCTTTATCCAATTAAGTTACCTGGAAAAGGTATTTTAGGTGGATCCCCTCCCAGGAAACAATATTAAAACAGTTTTGCATGAAATTCAATTACAGTTCCATTAAATTATTTTAAAGGAATGTCATGCTATTAGGTCACGCCTGTAATTTTCTTTTATGTCTTAGCTTATGAATTCTCATTTCTCTCCCTCCTTTAGGGCAGCCGTACCTTATCTGTAAGAGTCTTTCAAAACTCAGTCAAGATATAAAAGTGGCTCTGAGAGTCTTTTTTGTCCAGCTTATCTAAAAGAGCTAAACTTGGCTTGCAGCTTATCAGCAAATACTGTCTTTCTCACGGGCAGAGCCATCAAGGGAGTTGCCATCACACTGTTAAGATCCCTCTACAGGTTCTTTGAGATTCAACTCACACAGAAATACTGAAAGAAACACAGGTCCAACCCTGTCCCTGAATGGGCTTACCCCACCATACCTCTCTGAGCTTCTACATCCTTATAGACCTACTCGCTCTCTCAGGTCAGCTGGTCAGCTGCAGCTCTACAGCTCTGGAATGACCTGTCTCAGCACATTAGACAGACCTCTTCTGATGAAACATTATTATTGTCATTACATTGTCACAAGCACAAAGCAACAAAATTATCTCTCTGCACAACCCTTTGGGAGCAGTGGGCTGCCATTGTGGGGCGCGCAGGGACCAGTGTGGGGTTATGGGTCATGCTCAGGGACCCAGAGTGGCAGTCAGTGGGAGTGGGTCTTGAACACAGAACCTCTGGGATCCAAGCATAATGCCCTAATCCTAACCACTAGGTCACCACTCCCACTCCACTTCTTTGACTATTTTTAAATCCCTTGTCAAAACCCATTTTTTCTCTTTGGCTTTTAAAACCTGGCAAGACACAATTCAACCCTCAGATAATTTTACCCCAATGTAAATGTCTGGGTAACTAAGTATACTTTATATATCATACCAATTGTGGTTTCGTGTAGAAGTAATGGTGTTCTTAGTCTAATAGCATTAGACATTGATACATGCACATGTTGTAAACACTCTTGTTCACTCTGTTTATTTTTTTCTTTATTGGTTATCTTATTACACGTAAAAATAATAATATCATGTTCAGGGACACTATGATATGGAAAAAAGTTCAGGTAAAATTAAAAAGGAAAATTTCACTTTGGAAAAAGAAGAAGAGAAGGGAGGACAGGGTGAATGGAGCTAGAGAAGGGCGACCTCACTCTCTTTTAATTTGAAGGTAAGTAAAAAACTTTTTTGTTAATATTTCAAGATGATCCCTAAATACAAAATTTTTTTGAAAATTCTTGATAATATTACATAAAGTAAGCTATAATCTTGGGGAACTGAAAAATGTACAGTTTGTGATTTTTAACCTAAGTGAGCTGAAAAATAGAACTTGAAAAAAACCATCCCAATTTATCTTAATTCACCCTGTACTGTAGCTTCATCTGGTGGTGACTGTCTATACTGCATCACAGTTTTACAGCAACGCATTTATTCCTCATAATCACTCTAATTACTTACATAAAAAAGCTAAGGCGAATTGAAGTGGATTTCTCTACAACATATACTTGGTTAATAAACATAACTTAACATTTCTTTATCATAGAAAAGTAGAAAAGAGGAGAATAATACAGAGCCTTAGAGAAGACTGCGGGTGTCCACTTTTCAATTCAATTCAATTCAGTTTATTTATATATATATTTATATTCCAATTCACAACACATGTCATCTCAAGGCACTTTACAGTTCAATCAGATCATAGAGTCAAATTGATTCAAAGTTTTCAATCTAAGGAAAACCAGTTGATTGCATCGACTCATTGACTCAAATGCAATCCCTCACACTTTTGTCATATTGTGCCATCATGTGGATGCTTTTTGTAAGTACAGATAAAACTGAATTTAGTTAATGGGCCCACAAAGTACCAGAGCAAACATACATATCTTACTTTTATTGTCAGACAGCTCTAAGTTAGATCTGGTGTCCACCCCCTCCAAACCTCCCACATAAGTGGACAGGGAGGGCTTAGGTCAGGGACTGGATCTTGAGTGAATTGAAATATTTTATAATCAACCAAAGCAAACACATTACAGTGCATGCCTGTGCACTCTCCCCCGTTCACACACACACATGCCCATAGTGAAGATTTGTCCCTCATCTGTATCTGAAGGCTTTATCCAACCTTGCCCCAGATTTCTGCGATTTATCATAATTCCATTTTTTTGGTCTTTCAATCTAAAGATTTGTTCCTCCCTCTTTTTTAATAACGTGCAAGCAAGGGAAGCATGTCCCAGGGAGATTATACTGTCGTCTCTGGAGTCTCGTCTTGATTACATCAGAGGAACTGAATTTCATTTGGAAGAAACCCCCATGTTTCAGTGCCCGATCTCTTTAGACCTCTCTGTTGTGCTGGGTTCTTGCTTTTTTACAGACCGGGGGGGATGATCTTGATGAATATGATCTGAACTAGAGGGAGGTAGGGAGGGATTAGGTGAAAGGATTAAAATTTTCAGTGATGAGAAATAATAAGAAAACAATAAATCCTAAGTAGATTTAGTTCTCAAGAAAACCCTGTTAGGGTAAATCAGGAGGAAAAGAGACAGGGGCAGAGAAATTAAATGGATCCTGGCTGTAGTCTGAGAGAACATCAGTCCCTCTTTTTGTCCTGCAAACCAAAATATGAAAAAAGTCCTAATAAAACATGTTTTTAATTTAATTTCCTTGGAAACTATTAATACTAGCTCAGCAGATGTTTTTATTTTTATTTTTTATTAAAAGGACACTCACTGTATTAATATAAACTCTTTTTGCCCCATAACTGATCGTATATGCAGACTGAACAGTGAATCATTTGTTTCAGTTTTAAAGTAAATTTTAAATTTGCTTTAGAAATTATTTAAAAAAGAAAATATGACATTACTTTTTTAAATAACTTAAGCCTTTGGCCTAGGCAAGGGTTCTGGTGGGTGCTTGCTCATATTTTCCACTGCTTGGAGTAGGAAAGCAAAACTGGGGGGTCAATAAGATATTTTCATGAATAATTGGAAGTTGGGACATAATATGCATAACTATGAGCTAGTTTGGTGTGGTTGAAAAAAAAAGAAGATTTCTTGATTTCCTTGTACATAACTTCATCTAAGGAAATTGGTACTATGGATGCAAGTGGCTGACATTATCCGTATGGTTGATGAACTCCACCTTAGGGGGGCTTGGTGACTGTTTAAATGTTGGTAAACAGTCACTGCTTCCAGTAAGCAAATTCAGGCAGTTGGAGTTGAAACTGATCATTAAGTGTCTTGGTTGCCTTCTTTCTTCAGGTTCACAAAATGCACATCATGCTTGGAGCGTGGTCTTTATGTGTGGGGACTGCCTGACCTATTGAACTTTGTTTTTTCTATCAATATCTCAAAAAAGAGCAGTACAAAAATGTCCCCAAATAACAACAAAAAGACAATCTGCACAGACCACCACTAATAGGTGTGAAACCATATTTATTATATTTAAAGAATTTGTCCTTAACCAGCTTGACAAATGATCCAAGGTATTTAAACTGGCTTTAATTAACACAAGATCTCTGTCAGGAAATTTATTTTTAATCAATTACTCAGCAAAATCTTGATTTTTGTGTTTCTAACTGAGACATGGCTGAATAAAAATAACGAGTTGGCGATTTTATCGGAGGCTGCACCTCCCAATTACAATTTTCTCCATCAGACAGTGTTTAAAAAATGGAGAGGATTTTTTTTCTCTGTTTATTAATTCAATAAAGTGTAGAAAAGGGATCCTGGGTGAATCTTTTTAATATCGGGCTTTCTAAGAAAAGGCCCTGTTCGAGCCATTGTTACCAATATGTATAGCCCTCCAAAGTCCATATTGACTTTTATCTCTGATATATTACACATGAAAACTTAATTTTTGTGGGGCACTTTAATTTAGATGTTGACAACCCTGAAGACAGAGGAGGATAGGAACTGTGGGATATACTTAAAACTTTTGGTTTGACTGAACATATTAAACAGCTAACACACAATCAAGGACATATTTTGGACCTGGTCATCAGAAAAAGTCTAAATATTTCTAATGTTTATGTAACTGTGGTTGTCCTATTAGAGCATTTTTCTGTTTAATTTGAAACCATTTTCTCACTGATCTAAATACCGAAGGAAATGTTATAAGAAATCATGTTATCATGGATACAGCAATTTAAAATTTACCCATGTTTATGGTTCTGTAAAGGGCCTTTAATGACTTTTTAAAAAGTTTTTTTTACAGAGAAGATACAAAGTATTAGAAAAGCAGTATGTACATTAATGCCAACTCCAGTACCAATACTGTCTCCAGTTAGAATAAACTGCAAAGGTTTAAAAGAAACTGTTCATCAGCTAAGTTCCTCTTCCTGTTGTCTTAATGTTTTACTCACAGGTTTTAGTAAGAAGGTTTTAGAGTCTGATTTGATTCAAATCATTTACATATCCCTTATGTGGTGTCATAAAACGGGACAGATGGTACCAGTATTCAGGCGAGACAGACAGTGAGAAGTTTCAAAACGTTTAATGATAAAAATAAACAGAAACAGAACAGAATGTGGGCTGATGTGGATCTGTGGACATGCAGCGGCTGCTGGGGGAGGCGGGGCAACACCCATCACTGGCACTCTGGTTGTGAGAGAAACACAGGTAAGTGACCACGATAATCTGACTGAAGATGTTTATCGGTGTGAGTCACTTACCTGGTTTAAAACCCTTTTGTTAGTCTACGTATAAATTACTAAATGGAGCAGAACCTCAATATATAACATATTTGTTGTCAGTGTATCAACCTCCTAGACCACTCAGGTCTTCTAGTTCAAGCCTACTCTGTATACCCAGA